TTCCCACCTAAAAGGTGAGAATTTCAATTCAACTAAAACCAAGAAAACTAGTAAATGTGGAAAATCAATTCCAGGGAAAAAAATGCTATCAAACACGGTAAAAGTAGGAAATGAAATTTCAATTCCAACTTGCATGAAAAATATGGTCCTATCAAACAGGCCTTTACTCAAATTGTCATTTCACTATTTTTTTTAACAATTAAGTTGATCTCATTAACACTGTTATGTTGTGACAGAAATTTTTGATTTAGAAGTATGATTCATCGAAGAAATCTAGATAATTTTGGTTTGAAAGTTCAGATTGATAAGGGATCAAATTTCATCATGAATTGAGAGTTTGACTGGAAAAAAGACTTTGAAATGGATGAAAAAGTGTTTTGGAAACATTGGGTCTGAGATGGAGCGCTTCGGGGTCGGGTCGCACTGGTGCGCTGGCGCCACAACGTGGGCTCCAGGACTTGGGCGCCACGGGTATAAGAAGAATCCCACTCCTAGTTGATTTAGACCGTAGTTTTTGTGTTCTACTTGATCTATAACTTAAACATTTGGCTCGTATATATTGTTCATGTGATGTAGGCTCTTCAAGTCGCAAGATAACAATTAGATCATTATTGTACACATTAAAAACTTGAGAAAATTGTTTAAATTTAGATTGAGAGGGTTTCGCCCTAATACCGTTCGTCCGCACAAAGGGCTCTGCTCTAATACAGTTCGTCCGCACAAAGGGTTCCGCCCTAATACAGTTCGTCCACCAAAGGGCTCTGCCCTAATAAAGTTTGTCCGCACACATGGGCTCTTCCTTCATACGGTTCACGCGTACGAGGGACTCATATCTCAGCGATGAGACGGAGAACCACCTTTATTGATGCAAGCTCCATCGTCTTACGGGGTTCAACCAAAAAATAGGGGAGCCCCACGCCGATTCTGGCAAGCGAGTAAGGGTTTCGATTCCATCATTTTTCGAGCTTCAAAGTTGAATTATGCAATTGCCGCCATTGATTATTTCACTAAGTGGGTTGAAGCCGAATCGCTGGCTAAAACCTTTGAGGCGCATACTTCAAAATTCCTATGGAAAAATATCATCTGCCGGTTTGGAATTCCCCACTCATTAGTCACGAATAATGGGCGTCAGGAAGCAATTTTCTTCCCCTCATCATCCTCTAGCTAACGGTCAAGTTGAAGCTGTCAACAAGACCATAAAGCACCTTCTAAAGAAGAAGCTCGACGAATTAAAAGGGGTGTGGGTAGACGAGCTCCCTCATGTGCTATGTACGATACGCACTACTAGCCGAACAGCTACTTGGGAGACCCCTTTCTCCATGGCTTACGGAGCAGAATCAATGTGCTCAGTTGAAGAAGACCTGCCATCGCCTCAATGCCTACAGTTCAATGAGATCTCAAACGAAGAAATAAGGCATTGTGAGCTCGACTTTCTTGATGAGAAAAGGGAGGCTTCACGGTTAAGTTGGCCGTCTACCAAAGGAAAATTGTATGGTACTGCAATCGCAAAGTTAAACACAAATCTTTCAGAACATGCGATCTAGTGCTTAGAAGGGCGTTTCTGTCGTCAAAAGAACCTGGGGTAGGTACGTTGGGCCCGAATTGGGAGGGCCCCTATCGGATCGCGGATGTCAGGCCCGAGTCTTTTCTAATCGAGAATCTCGACGTAAAGATGCAACCCACCAATGGAACGTGGAGCACCTTAGAATGTATTATCAGTAAAGTTCTATTTTGTATGCATCGTTTATGATCAATAAAAACTTCTTTACAAGTTCATAAATTGTTAAAGTATGATGAGCTCGTACATCTCCATCAATTGTGAAAATATAACGAGCCTATATCTCCACCAAAGTGATTAATTATGACAAGTTCATAAATTATTAAAGTATGACGAGCTCATA